GTGCTTGGAGGGACGAGTGAGGTTGTACTCACTGGGCACTCAGACGCTTCTTGGGTTGACGACCTGGCTACTCAGCGGTCGTCACAGGGTTACACCTTCAGCCTTGGCTCTGGTTCAGTTTCGTGGCGTTCTACACGCTCGTCTTCAGTTCTCGGCTCCAGTTGTGAGGCTGAGATCTACGCCACCGCCATGGCTGCACAGGAGTTACGCTGGCTCACCTACCTGCTGACTGACTTGGGAGAGCAGCCTCGTTCTCCTCCAGTGCTGTACGTTGACAACAAGGCCGCCATTGCCTTGTGTGAGGAGCACAGACTGGAGCATAGAACGAAGCACATTGCTCTGCGTTACTTCCTGGCTCGAGAGTTGCAGCAGCGAGGCCAGCTTTGTCTTCGTTACGTGGCCACTCGGGCCAACACTGCTGATATATTCACCAAGGCACTTCCGTCTGGTGATCATCAGCGCTTTTGTACTCTGTTAGGCCTTGTGCCTACGCTTCCACACTTGCTGTAGTCTTTGCTTGTACTGTGATCTATATACATATATACCTGTATGCTGGCTCTTGCTAGGTAGCCATCACTGTACTGTCATTGCTTCATATATATCTCTGCATGTGAACTGGCCTTGTGGCCATTTGCTTGTGCTCAGAATGTGTGGTGACGTTGTGATCCACCCTGAGCTTGTTTTGCTTCTCTTGACTGGTCTTGTGACCCGTTGCTCTCCCCCACTTTGCCTATGGGGGTGTGTCAAATGATATATATGTGTGATATATATTGGTAGGCTGTAGTGGGGTAGATGTTGTAGGAGATAACACTTTAGGGTTGTGTTATTTGTACCAAACTCTCCATAGTGAACTCAACCTTGCCTGATTCTCTCGACACCTCCATGCCTTTCCCAAGCCAGCCATTAACTCAAAGTTTCGTTGTGTGGTTTCATGCAGGCCCTTTATCCAGTCAACAAGGCGGTCCGGGAAGCACATTCTCTGGTTTCTTTGTCATTTTCAAACAAAATGTCTTGAGACAATGAAGCAAAGGCCTTTTTGAAGTCCACCAACAGCAGATACTGCTTAAACACTGATGGGCATACTGTAACCAAGGCAGTTGATGCACAAAAGAAACAAGGTTAGATCATGTCTGATTTCTTTAAACATATGCAATACTCGCACCATAACAGGCCGAGAAGAGGGGAACTTGGCGCATACCGGTATGTCTCGCACTGTTTATTCATTGCCTTTCCAGCAATTTGTCGTGGGATAGTTTTTTCAGTCCGTCGGTTTGGAGAACCTTGATGATTCGTGAACCTCTAAACAACATTCTCAAAAAGGATGTAAACAACAATGTAAGGCAAGTGGGCTGGAAATCCAGCATTTCTGTTGTGCTGAAGCAGCCTATCTACCAGGATCTCGGATAAATTTAAAGCCCTAGGTCAGCATGGTAAAGTTTCAAGTTATGTGGATTTGAAATAGGCTGTAGGTGAGGGTGTGCGAATCCTATTTCGGTTGTGTTGCTTTGGCGAGAACTTTATTCATCCGCGAGCAACTTTACATTTCGTGCATACCAAACCTGCGATTCCCACAACCCAAAGCGAAAAGTGAGTCGCACGAAGAGAGGGGGACAGCCAATCATAAGGTTTCGCATACGACGCATATGGAAAGTGTGGCTGCACTAGAAGTCACTGCAAAACTGATTCAACTCGACTGTCACGCCAGTGCTACTAGCAACGCCAGTACCTACTCTAACAAGCTACTAGCACGTGCGCCTCTCCTCGTCCCCCTCACCTTGAGTCTTCCCGTTCCACCCATCCACGCGCAGCACGCCTCGCCTTGAGCCCACGATCTAGCCGTCCAGCCCGTGATTTAGCTGCCCAGCTCGCGATATAGCCGTTCAGCCCGCGATCTAGTAGCTGCCTAGCCAGCGGTTTTTGCCGCCAAGCCCGCGATTTAGCCGCCAAGCCCGCGATCTAGCCGCTGAGCAGGTATTTAGCCGACCATCCCGCAATCTAGCCGCAAGGCCAGCGATTAGGCCGCCCGGCGTGCAGCTAGGCAGCGATATCTGCGTACTGCAGGCTTATTTCACGAACTGGCAGCAGAATCCGCACCATAGCAGCGAAATCCGCGCCATAGCAGCGAAATCCGCGCCACAGCAGCGAAATCTGAGCCATAGCAGCGAAATCCGCGCCACAGCAGCGAAATCCGCGCCATAGTGGCGACATCCGTGCCACAGCGGTGAAATCCGCGCCATAGCAGCAGAATCCGCGACACAGCTGCGAAAGCCGCGCCACTGACCAGCCGCGCACGGAATGCGCCGACCAGCCGCGCACCACTGACGACATTTGCGTAAGCAGCACGTGCGCAGAGGGGACAAGCACCGAGACTGCCCGCGCCCGCGCTTGCGCCTGCGCCCGCGCCTCCCCCTGCGCCTGCGCCCGCCGAGCAAGCGCGCCAATTGGAGGGAGCTCTCTCGCTCGCTACCCGCGCGGGTGCGCCGTTCCCCCCACCGCGGTTTCCCCCTGCGCTCTGCCCCCTGCGCTCCACCCCCTGCGTTCTGCCCCCTGAGCTCTGCGCTCTGCGCTCTGCGCCCCATGCTCTGCCCCCTATGCTCTGCGCTCTATGCACTGCGCCCTATGCACTGCGCCCTATGCACTGCGCCCTATGCACTGCGCCCTATGCTCTGCGCCCTATGCTCTGCGCCCAATGCTCTGCGCCCTATTCCCCTTCTCGCCAAACCTCCACCCGCCCCCGCCCTTTCCAACCCCTACCCCTCATGGTTGTCCTCTTCCTCCCTTTCCCCCACCCGTTTTCTTCCTCCCGCATGAGGCAGGGATAGGGAGCAGGAAAAAGGAATTCGAGGGGGGAGTGTTGTCCACTGCTGCATGTCTCAACCTCTCATGTGTGTCTCACCCCTCCCCCTCTCCCCCTCTTCATTCCTTTCTCTCTGACTGCCGCGCCCTTCCCCCGTTCCTCCTCTCCCCCTCTTTGCTCTGTTTCTCATCTCTTCCTAACCACTTTTCCCTGCTCCACCCACCTGCTTACCTGATTTCCATATCTTCCCTCTCCCCTTTCCCCTCACCTCCTATCCCTTACGTGCTCCTCCTGCCACCTCAACTGACATGCTTCCCCTTTCCCTTCCCCCCTGCTTCCCTCTTCCCCCTCCTCTTCCCTATCTCCCCTGTTTGACAATTTTCTTGTTCCCCCTCCCCATATTCCCTCCCTCTCCCTGGCTATTGCAGTGACTACGCTGAAGTCTTTTTCTGGTATTGCAACTCGCCTCAGCCCATCATCCCATGCCATGCTCGTAGAGAAACCAGTTCCCCTCATGTTTTTTTCAATGCCTTGAGAAAGTCAGAAGTAGTAGGGTGATGCCTCTGTGTACCCTTCTGACACTCTTCATGTCCATGCATCTTGGAAGAAAATCTTGCACTGCAGAAACAAAAGTACATATTGTGCCTTTGAGATAGATATCTCCAACAGTGTTCTCATATCATGCTAGCATACAACAGACAAGAAGCAGGCAGTGGTACGGTGTAAAGCATCGACTAGCGACGCCTCGGCTTGCTCCTCTGCTTCACCACTGAAATTTAGGGGAGTGGTGTAGGCAGAAAGAATTGTGTGAAGAAACATGGGGGAGGTGGTGTGAGGTGCAAGGGAACAACCGCAAGGGGATACAACAAGCAGAGACACATGATGAAAGCATGTATGGGGTGACAGTGATTGGTGCACATGCATGGGAACTACAGGGCGGAAGGTGAGGAGTGAGGGGGAAGGGGAGGGCATGAAAAGGAAGGAAAGGGTTGAGAAGGGATGGGGAAGGGAAGGGCAGGGCAGGGAGGGAAAGGCAGGGATTGAGAGGGCAGGTAGGGAACAGGGCAGAGGGTGGGGGGAAGGAGGCCTGAGGGTGGTGGGAAGGTGAGTGAGAGTGCGAGAGGACGAGTGAGAGAGTGCGAGAGGACTGAGTGAGAGAGAGTGTGGGAGGAAGGAGAGTGAGAGTGCGGAAGGAAGGAGAGAGAGAGGAAGGACACCTGGCCAGGGAGTGGAAGGCATGGAGAGGGAGATTATGGGGTAAAGCAGGGAAGGGGATGGGGGAAAGGGGATGGGGGGAAGGGGATGGGGGGAAGGGGATGGGGGGAAGGGGATGGGGGGAAGGGGATGGGGGGAAGGGGATGGGGGGAAGCAGGGAAGGGGATGGGGGGAAGCAGGGAAGGGGATGGGGGGAAGCAGGGAAGGGGATGGGGGAAAGGGGATGGGGGGAAGGGGATGGGGGGAAGCAGGGAAGGGGATGGGGGGAAGCAGGGAAGGGGATGGGGGGAAGCAGGGAAGGGGATGGGGGGAAGCAGGGAAGGGGATAGGGCAGAGGGATGGGGGAAGCATGGCCGAAGGAGGGACGAAGCAGGGCGGAGGGAGGGGGGATGCAGGGGGGATGGAGGGGGGAAGCAGGTGAGGCAAAGGAGAATAGATTGGGGGGTGAACAGAGCTGGTGGGAGAAAGGGAGGTTGGCCAAAATAAAGAGGGGTGTAAACAATTAGGGGGAAGTGAGGTCGACGGGGAGAGGGAGTGAGGGAAGTACCCGCTCTCACCCTCTGTCTCTCACTCTCTGCCCTTCCCCCTCCGTTCCTCCCCCTCCATCCTTCCCCGTCTGTCTCTCCCCCTCGGCCCTTCACCCTCTGTCTCTCCACCTGTGTCCTTCCCCCTCTGTCTCTCCCCATTTGTCCTTCCCCCTCTGTCTCTCCCCCTCTGTCCTCCCCCCTATTCCTCGCCGCCTGTTCTGTCTCTCCCCCTCTGTCCTTCCCCCTCTCCCCCTTGTCCTTCCCCCTCTGTCCTTCCCCCTCTCCCCCTTGTCCTTCCCCTCTGTCCTTCCCCCTCTCCCCCTTGTCCTTCCCCTTCTGTCCTTCTCATCTCCCCCGCCCGTTCCCTTCCTGTTCACAGCAAATCAATAATTCTTTCACTGTGACACCATCCCCCCCTCAGCTGTCCATCCCCCTCTGTCTCTCCCGCTCTGCCCCTCACATCAGTATGGAAGGAGTTGCTGCGGCTGGAAGGAGCGAGGGCGTATGGGGGAGTTGCTACACACGATGGTGTTGATGGCGACGTGGGTAGGGGTTGGCGATAAGGACAAACGCTTCTCAATTGGAGTGGCGGAGGGGAAACGCGCGTGGCGAGGGGAGGAGATCGCGCGACGAGCAGAAAGCGCGCGTGACGAGAAGGCACCTGGTGCGTGACGCTCACCTCTATGAGGGTGGGGGGAAATAGGGCGGAGGGAGGGGGGAAGCAGGGCGGAGGGAGGGGGGAAGCAGGGCGGAGGGAGGGGGGAAGCAGGGCGGAGGGAGGGGGGAAGCAGGGCGCAGGGGGGGGGGAAAGCAGGGCGGAGGACGGGGGGAAGCAGGGGGAGGGAGGGGGGAAGCAGGGAGGGGGGAAGCAAGGCGCAGGGAGGGGGGAAGCAGGGCGGTGGGAGGGGGGAAGCAGGGCGGAGGGAGGGGGGGAAGCAGGGCGGAGGGAGGGGGGAAGCAGGGTATAGGGAGGGGGAAGCAGGGCGGAGGGAGGGGGGAAGAAGGGTGGAGGGAGGGGGGAAGCAAGGCGGAGGGATGAGGGGAGCATGACAGAAGGAGGGGGGAAGGAGGGCGGAGGGAGGGGGAAGGAGGGCGGAGGGAGGGGGGCAGCAGGGCCTAGGGAGGGGGGAAGCAGGGGGGATGGAGGGGGGAAGCAGGGCGGAGAGAGGGGGAAAGCAGGGCGGAGGTAGGGGCGAAGCAGGGCGGAGGGAGGGGGGAAGCAGGGCCCAGGGAGGGGGCCAGCAGGGCGGAGGGAGCAGGGGGAGGAGGGGGGAAGCAGGGGGGATGGAGGGGGGAAGCAGGGCCCAGGGAGGGGGGAAGCAGGGAGGAGGGAGGGGGGAAGCAGGGAGGAGGGGGAGGGGAAGCAGGGAGGAGGGAGGGGGGAAGCAGGTGAGGAAAAGGACAATAGATTGCGATTGAATGATTGAGCTGGTGACGAGGGAAGGAGTGCGCGTCACGAGGGGAAACGCGCGTGACAAGGGGAGGAGAGCGCGCATCGAGCGGAAGCGCGTGTGACGAGAAGGTGCGTGCGCGACGAGCGGAAACGCGCGCGACGAAGGGAAACGCATGACGAGGGGAAGCACGGAATCCCGGGCAAGCGAGTGACGAGGGCCAACGCGAGTGACGAGGGCTAACGCGAGTGACGAGGGCTAACGCGAGTGACGAGGGTTAACGCGAGTGACGAGGGCAGGCGCGAGTGACGAGGGCGGGCGCGAGTGATGAGGGCGGGCACGGGTGGCAAGGGGGAGCACGGGTGACGACGAGCGCTAAACGAGGGCCTAAGCAAGGTGAAGCAGTCGTTTGCACCACACGTTCCGTGTGAGTAATGCGACAACGTTTGTAAATATCGGGTGACACTAGGCTTGTGCTGCCCAGCTATTGGCGAGACAGCATGTGTGCCTTGGGAGTTGCTGAAAAAATCGCGGTCCATAGAACTAGGCGCACTGGCTGTCTACTTACGAGAGGAAGTAGGCCGATCATGAGTACGACTAGGTGTTCAAGATATGTGAGAGCCAAGCAGTGGGCCAACCTGAGCGACTGTGCTCAAAAGCCAATGAGGAGAGAGTGTCGTTAGGCGTTGTCCCAGAGTCGCGAGAGTTTTGTAACAGACAAGTAGGGTAACCCTGTTTTTTACGAATTCAAGTTCAAGAATCTTGATCTTGAAAATAACCATGCTGTACTCGGGCTTTAAGGACGCCACGAGCAAACCCTCTAATTGGTGGGGCAGACTGCTGAATAGGGTATCGTCCATGTAAGGGGCTGGAAAAGAAACCACTCTATGAACCAGAACCCGTCAATGCATTCCTACCAGGCTTATCATTCATACCAGCATTACACAAGCAGGCAACCATGTTGAGAATATGGTAAGCGCACACAGATCTTCTTATCCTCTTATTCCATAAGCATGGAGTTCAAGGGCTCAACAAAGGGACATCACATGAAGTCGTGCAAACATTCCAGCCCCTCATTTCAACAAACACTCCCTTGTCACACTGGCCGCCTGAACAGCTTGAGCCACTGGAAGAACTGCCTTCAACACATGCTGAGCAAGGCTCGTGAGCAAACTCCACCTCTACAGTGACCTCCTCACTGGGTAACAGCGAGAGGTAATTCTCAGCGTACACTGCAGGCAGCACCCTCTTGCCATCCACCCGCCGGCGCACTGTGAAACAGACAAAGAATGCCACACCTCCAGCGCTCTCGTCCCCATTCACCCCTGCAGCAGGGTCATTCATAGGCCCAGTGAGCCCCACGGCTGTTCCTCCCTTTCCTTGCCGTTGTGTGCACTGCCCTCCACCCACAGCGCCTCCTTTCACAGGGTTGCTCACCAGCAGATGCGCCCGCCACCAGATACACCTCCCTCCATGAGGCTCACTGGGTGGCAAAAGCCTCCCTGCCTCTCCTGGGGAAGAGGCAGAGGAGACGTGGAGGAGGGAGAGGGAGAGGCGCAGTTTGTGCTGGCGGAAGGGCCCTCCCAGTGCTCGAAAGTCCCCCAGGTAGGCGTAGGCGGGCGGGAGGGGGAGGGAGGGGAGGAAGGGGCGGGGAAGGAGGAGGAGGAGGAGGAGGAGGAGGAGGGCGGAGGGAGAGGAAGTGCGGAAGGGAGCGGAGGGAGGGAGAGGAGACGGGCTTGAGCAAGAAGGGGGGGAAAAAAGGGTGGCGGTGGCGGTGCTTGCAGTGGATAATTGTGGTGATGGTGCTACTGGTGGTGCTGGTGCTGATAATGCTGATGGTGTTGATGCTGCTGCTGCTGCTGCTGCTTCTGGTGCTGCTGGTGCTGCTGGTGACGATGGGACGGTGGTGGTGGTGGGTGCGTCCAGAGGCAGTGCAGTGAGCCAGTAGAGGTTGCGTGACACTGTGGTGGCTTCAGACCACCCCGGGGGAGCAGATGGCGATGCTGGGAGGTGCGGCGAGAGGCTGGAGTGGTATGGGGAGGACGAGAGTGGTGCAGAGGGTTGGGAGGGTTGGGGGCAGTGGAGCAGGCGGAGGAGGAGGAAGACGGTGGGGGGTGGGCTGGAAGGGGAGATGGGGAGGCGGGGAAGGTGCACCTGGGGGGATGGTGTTGGGGGGACGGACGGGGAGGAAAGGCATAAGTGCGTGGCATGGTAAACTGCGTGAGAAATGCTGGGAAGAGGTTCAGAATGAAATATGAGAGATTAAAGTGCAGAGTGGATGGAGAAATGGTTGGGGCAGGGAAGGTTGTTGGCATGGATGCAAGCAGGTGAGACTAATCCATACCTGCATGACTGCATGACTGCATGCCTGCATGCTCGCATGTCTGCATGCTCGCATGTCTGCATGCTCGCATGTCTGCATGCTCGCATGTCTGCATGCTCGCATGTCGGCATGCTCGCATGTCTGCATGGCATAGGCTTTAGCGCCAACACATTCATACGTGCCTGCAACTTTTGAGCTGCAGCTGTGTTTCCCTCCATCCAACTGCCATTCCCCCACCTGCTGCCCTCACCTCACCCTGTGCTGCCCTCACCTCACCCTGTGCTGCCCTCACCCGAACCTGTGCACCCCTCACTCACCTGGAGCTGAGTCTCTGTGCATGAGAATGGCGGGCACGTGAGTGCCAAGGGGGAGACTGGAGAGGCAGGAGCGGCTGAAGTGGCCGAGGAGGAGGAGGAGGCTGAGGAGGAGAGGAAGAGGAGGGGGGAGAGGCGGGCAGGCAGTGCAGGTGGGGAGCGGGTGGGAGAGTGGGAGAGGCGGCGAGGGAGGAGGAGGAGGAGGAGGAGGAGGAGGAGGAGGAGGAGGAGGAGGAGGAGGAGGAGGAGGAGGAGGAGGAGGAGGAGGAGGAGGAGGAGGAGGAGGAGGAGGAGGAGGAGGAGGAGGCGTGCCACAGGCAGTGACCGGTGGGAAGGTGGATGGAAGCTTCCACAGCGAGAGAGGAGAGAGCACGGGCTGTGGTGTTGACCACCTGATGGGCGCAGGAGGGGGAGAGGGGGAAGGGACGGGGGAGAGGGGGAAGGGACGGGGGAGAGGGGGAAGGGACGGGGGAGGGGGGAGGGGGAAGGGACGGGGGAGAGGGGGAAGGGACGGGGGAGAGGGGGAAGGGACGGGGGAGAGGGGGAAAGCAGTGCGATGAGGGTAGTGTGTGTGCAGTGAATGACGGGTGTGAGAGGGAGGAGAGAGTGCAGGGTGTGGTTTTGACCACCTGATGGGCGTAGACTGGGGAAGGGACGGAGCAGAGGGAGATGGACGGGAAGGTCCGGGTGTCATCCAGGTGCACGTAAACGGGCTCCTATAGACACTTGGAGCCCGTGAAAGGCATTAACGCATGCCAAAGGCAACAGGTGGCAAAGGCAACAGGTGGCAAAGGCAACAGGTGGCAAAAGCCATGATCATACAAACACCACACCACAGACCACACCATATGATCACTACTACACAACACAACACCTGCTCCCCATGCTCGCCACACACCTGCACTCGCCACACCTACACTGCACCCCACGTTCCTGACTTCGCCTTGAGCACAGGTCCAGCCGCACGTGAACGTCTCCCCTCACATAACACCTGCTCCCCACGCACCTGCACTCGCCCCGAGTGTAAGTCCAGCTGCACGTAAAAGGCCTTCAGGGCACAGCGCACGCCGTACAGCCCACCAGTGGGCGCCAGCAGGTGGTCATACAGCTGCCCGCGCAGGCCCTCCAGTGCCCGACTTTGAGTTCGATTTTGTAACTGAAACACATGGCATGGCACCCCACTACTACTCACCTGCACATACCACCTGACCGCCACGCACCTGCACTTTCCCCGAGTGTAAGTCCAGCTGCACGTGAACTGGTTCCAGGGCGCAGCGCACGCCGTACAGCCCGCCAGTGGGCGCCAGCAGGTGGTCGTACAGCTGCCCGCGCAGCCCCCCCCAGGGGTTCTGCCCCTTCCACAGCAGCACCCCCGTGTAGCGCTCCCACATGCGCGCACCCCATGCCTCAAAGAGCGACCGGTACTGCAGGTAGTTGGCCATCTGAGCCTGGTGGGAGGAGGGATTAAGTCGGAAGGAGAGAGTGAGTGCGGTTTATTCCGTACAGCCCTCCCCTGCTTTTGGTGTATGCAACTTGCGTGCGTTCGATGCCTCAAGCAGCGAGCGGTACTGCAGGTAGTTGGCAATCTGAGCCTGGGGGGATGGAGATGTAAGGAGGAGTTTGCGCGAGACATGAGACGACCTTAGAGGCACCTCAAAAGTTGGGGAGGATTTTTGAGCTGTGATGAACCTTTGACACAGCTCCCCTATAAAGCCACATGCCACATACCATGCACCAGATGTGCCACATGCCACATGGCGGAGGCGAGGGGTGGGCATGTATGTATGCATGTCAATCAGATTAGGTGCACCAGTGTGGACTTCTGAGGCGCCTAAAAAAAAAGTATGCATGTCAATCAGATCAGGTGCACCAGTGTGGGCACGTCTAGCAGTGCAGCACGAGAGAGTGCCGCATGTCACACTGGTGTAGATGTGCATTTGTGTGTGGTTGACTGGAACGGAAATGCGGTGAGCCACATTGGCGGCTCCAGAATAGAGGAGTTTTCCATGCTCCGGCTTCTGAGTCGACTCAAAGTCAAGAGCAGTTTTCCATGCACCGGACCAGACAAGATGCCTTGTCTCTGGCAGGAGCGGACTCGAGGTGAGCCACAGTTTGCTTTGCATTGACCACCCACAGCTCTCTCATCTTGTCACAAAGGTCATCAAGCCCATCCACGGGGCCATACGTGAGAATCTGATTCTTCACTCGCACTGACCCCCGCTTCCACTTCCTTTGCACCCACTCCCGCTAACATGCGCCTCTGCACCACTGGCCTCACCTTGTGACAAAAGTCATCGAGTCCATCCACGGGGCCATACGTCAGGATCTGATTCTTCACTCGCACTGACCCCCGCTTCCACTTCCCTCCCTCCCACCCCCGCTTCCATTCACCACTGCATGCTGCTACCTCCTGCATCCTCGCTTCCTCTCCTTCTCCCCCCTGCTCCAATCCACCAACCGCTCCTTGCTGCTGCACCACACCTGCTTGCTGCTGCCTGCCTGCTTGCCTTCTTGCCCCTTCTCTACCCACCTCGCCCCCTCCCTTTGGCTCCGCGCCCACCATGCTGTACGGTATGTACGTATGCACCTTCCACCCGTCACTCTCCTCCTCCACACACTCCCCTCCACACTCCTCCCACGCCCTCCCAAACACCGGGGGGCTCCAATCACTCTCGGGAAAAAACTCGCGCAGACTTTCGGCCTCGGGCACCCCAACGGAACCGATCTCAGGGTTAAACGCGTACGGGTAGTAATCCGGGCAGAAGAAATCTTCGGGGTTTTGAATACCGTAAGGCCCGTCCGTCCAGCCGCCCTTGCTGTCAGCAAAGCCGCCCCATAGGGATCCCTCTATGTACGCCCTTGTGCCGTCCAGCAGCAGCGAAGGGTCTGGGTCAGACGTGGCTGGAAAGGAGGGGCGGATGGGGAAGGAGGGTTCGTCAGCTGTGAGCAAAGCCGCCCCACAGGGATCCCTCTATGTACACGCTCGTGCCGTCCAGGAGCAGTGACGGGTCTCCATGTGAGTTGGCTGACGAGAAAGGGGGCAGTCAAGGGAGGGCGATATACATGGAAAAACCTGTCTATTGCCGCCCACCCAGAGAGCCACCCCCGATCACCCCATACACCACCTCACACCACCCCACACCATCCCATACACCACCCCACACCATCCCATACACCCTCACACCACCCCATACACCACCCCACACCACCCCATACACCACCCCATACACCACTTCACACCACCCCACACCCCATACACCACCCCACACCACCCCACACCACCCCATACACCACCCCACACCACCCCATACACCACCCACTCCACCCCATACACCACCCACTCCACACCACCCCACACCACCGCACGCACCATCATACAGCCGCAGCATGCTCTTGAGTGAATCATTGAGGTCGGGAGCAGGCATGGTCTCGTTGCCGCCCACCCAGAGCGCCAGGCTGGCATGGTTGCGCAGCAGGCGGATGCTGTCCTCTGCACAGGCGAGAAAGAGGCGGTGGTCCAGCGGCCACGAGGGGTCAGATGGGGGGAGGCCGCGCCCATTGCAGTCGCCTGTTATCCAAAACTCCTGCCACACCTGTGGAGGGAACAGGGGAGTAGGCGACAATAGTTTCAGGCGGGCATGGTTGCGCAGCAAGCAGGCACTGCCAGCCGCACATGTCAGCCGCACATGTCAGCCGCACATGTCAGCCGCACGTGTCAGCCGCACATGTCAGCCGCACATGTCAGCCGCACATGTGAGGAAGAGGCGGTGGTCGAGTGGCCATGAAGGGTCTGATGCGGGTTGGGTGGTTCGGTTTGAGTAGACATTCAGATCTCAATTTGTGCCTGTGATGCATCACTGCTGCCACACCGGCACAGGGGAAGAGGGGAAAAGGCGGCGGCACAGATCTCTGTCAGGTTTGAGTCACTCAAACATATGCGAGTCAGCTGATGCGAGACGCTCAACATATGCACTTGATCCAGAACCCCTGCCACGCCTGCAACACCCAATCCATCCCCCGCCCCACTCCGAAACCCCCTAACATTCCAACCTGCACATTGCTCGAACCCCTCCCATCACCAGGATCCCCAGTGCGTGTGGGGTTTCATAACCAGGATCCCCAGCCGGTCACTGGCATCATAAAACTCAGGGCGTTCCATGAGAGCCCCCACCCACCCACTCATCCCGCCCACTCCATGCCCCACCCCTCACTAGTATTCCAAGGCGATCACAGGCGTCGTAAAACTCAGGGCGTTCCATGAGAGCCCCCGCCCACACCCGAATCATGTTCACCCGGGCACACGCAAAAAGTTTCATCTCTGCCCAGTAGCGCTCCGCTGAGAGGCGCAGCATGGCATCCGAGACGATCCAATTGGTCCCGCGTATGAAGAGCGGGCAGCCGTTGACGAAAAAAACCCTGGAAAGGGAGCAGATTCAGAGAATGTGTACAGAGATGAAAGAGTATTGGCAGTGGGCAGCTGTTGATGAAAATTGTCCTGGTACAGGGGTGCAGATACAGAGCATGTGGACACGCATGGGAAGCATTTAGCACAGGCAGCCAATGATGAAAAAGGCGCTGGTACAGGAGTGCAGATACAGAGCATGTGGACATGCATGGGGGAGAACGAACAAGTTGTCAGATGCAGGAACTATGCAAGGATATGGGCGTTCGCAAGGGAGAGGGAAGGCAGACTAGTGGTGGGGGGGGGGGGGGGGGGGAAGGGGGAGAGAGGGGGAGGCAGAAGGCGCAAGGAGAAAGCAGAGAAGGAGGAGAAGAGAGAAGCGTGAAAAGAGGGGAAGAAGAAAACAAGCGCATGGAAGTGAAAGACAGCTGTCCACCTACCTGCCACCAGTCCTCTCGTCCATGTAGCTGTCGATCTGTCGGAATCCAAATTTGCTGCTCCACACGTCACTCTGTGTCCACCTCCCCTCCCCTTGCTCTCCACTCTCCCCCGCCCCCACATCCCCATCCCTGCCATACAAGGCCGAGCTAACAAAACTTTTCGCCTGCCTGAGGCTGTGAGTCAGCGTGTGGGAGAGAAACTGGCTCCAAGATGCAGAGGCGGGTGCGGGGGGAGGGGCAGAGGAGGAGGAGGAGGAGGCAGGTGCGGCAGGGATTGCAGAGGAGGGAGGTAGTGCAGGGGGCGAGGATAAAGGCAACGGGTCATCCACTGCCACTGCCACTGTCGCTCCCACTGCCGCTGCAGCAGTGCTCGTTGCTTCTCTGGAAGCTGAGCTTCCAGTGGCTGCCACTGCAGCTGTTCTTTCATACGCTGCCAGCGAGGGTGTGGTGTGAGGTGCTGCCACTGGGTCCAAGTCGCGGGCTTTCCCAGAGGGGTGGCAGGATGCGAGACAGGAGGGGTGCAGCACAGAGGCGGTGATGGCCACATCATACAGCGGCTGTGCGCCCATGCCATTGGGCCACCAGAGATGGGGCCGGGTAACCAGTAGCTGCAAGAAGGGGAGGATGGGAGGGAGAGGCACAGGAGCAGGGGTTGCATGGTGGCGGGGGTGGGGGTGCATGGTGGTGGGGTGGGGGTGCAGTACGGTACGGAGGCAGTGATTGCGACGTCGTACAGTGGCTGTGCGCCCATGCCTTTGGGCCACCACAGATGGGGGTGAGATACGAGTAGCTGCTCTGCAGGGCAGGCAGGGGGGGCGACGGGGGGACGAGGGGGAGGTGGGCACAGGGGTGGGATTGCAGAGTCAGTACCAACCTCTGAGTCGGAGTAAGAGTCAAATACGGCTCTCAGCCATGCTACAGCGACATGTGCATGTGTGCGCATTCGTGTGCCTTGGCTTGGCAATGTACTGGGCGGAGTGTGTGAATGATGCCGCTCCTGGCAGGAAGGCTTTTTTTTGGGCGCCTCTAAAAGCACCTCAAGAATCCACTTGCATGCGTGTTCGCTCTGTGTGCTAACTGATTCGTACCGGGCGGAATGTGTGAGTGATGCTGCTGTTAGCCGGTACCTCCACCTCCTCCTCCCTCACTCCCTCCACCATCACAAACCCCCCCCTCCTCCTCCTCCTCCACATACTCCTCCCAATCCCCCTCCCCACTCGCCCTTCCTTCGCCCCCGTTCCTCGGCCTCCCCTCTCCTCCCTCACCCCCCATCCCCTCGCCCCTCCCCTTTCGAGTGCCCCTGCACCGCCCCTCTGGTCGGGGCCGGGAGTGAAGGAGAGCTCGAGAGACAGGCGCGTGCGGAGGGGAAAGGGGAGGGAGTTGGTGAGCGTGAGGGAGCAGTGGAGAGACCCGGAGGAGGGGCAGAAGGGAGGGGCAGGAGGGGCGGGAGTGGAGCAGGAGGAGGAGAGGAAAGAGGGGGAAGAAGGAGGCGAGTGTGTGGGTGTGCTGTGGTGCACTGCTGAAGAATGGTTGCATCCACTGCTCTCTCCGCCAGCAGCAGCAGCAGAAGTGGCAGCAGAAGCAGCAGGTTGAATCGACTCCTCGTATGCATGGGTGCTATCTGCATGGGTGCTATCTGCATGGGTGCTATCTGCATGGGTGCTATCTGCATGGGTGCTATCTGCATGGGTGGCATGTGCATGCTCGCTCTCCCCAGCAGCTGCACGCGAGTCGTTGCCGCGTTGGGATGCAAAGACGGCCACGAGGTGAGGGTCCCTGATGGTCACGGGCTGCCATGCACACACGCATGGACAGGGGGAGGGGCGAGAGGCTCCTGAGTCGACTCAGTTTTCAAACAACTGCCACCATATAAGAGTCATCAAAGGGTATTTTTGCAAGAAGAGTCATAAAAAAATTCCCACCAGATGAGAGTTATCGAAGGCCACGGACTGCCATGCCTACACGCGCAGGACAGAGATGAGTGGCAGCAACACGCTCAGCTAAAGTGCTCCCATGAGCAGTAACTCCCATGTCCGACCACCCTCACTCACCCCAGTCACAGCAACGTGCACTTGATCCCACATGCCCGTGTTGCGATCCCTGCCATCTCACAGCAAGACAGAAGGAAGCATGCGCTCAGCGAGCAGAGCAAGCAGGGATGGGCGGAAGGAAGCGGGGAAGGGATGGTGAAGTGCTCTCGTCTCGTACAAATAAGAAGGGAAACGGACTTGAAGCCATCACAACAGAAAGCCACGGACGGAAAAAGCATCATGGATTGACTGGGGATCACACGAGGAGCAGCTAGGCAGAGAGTTTTATTCAGTCAGAAACAGGGGGAAGATACCGGATGGGGATGATCCAATCCCAGCCCTCCACGTATTGAGCTGTGACATCCTTCGCCACCTGCACGCGCGGGGGCATGGTGGTATGGTGGCATGGGGCATGCAGCATGGGGGCATGGGGCATGGGGCATGGTGGGATGGGGCATGTGGCATGCGGCATGGGGCATGGCAGCATGAAGCACAGCAGCATGGAGAAAAGCAGCAGAGACAGGGGCATCGATGGGCTAGGAGTCAGCTTGCGACATGCGGTTGTGATATTGAAGGTTGCAGGCCACACAATTAATGTGATCCCCACCAACTCCACTCCACTCCACTCCACTCCACTCCACTCCACTCCACTCCACTCCACATGTATCCGTGAATTACATCACCACATGAAGCATGCCCAGTGGCGTGCCAAATGGTGTGTAAAAGGTAATCGGCATGCGTACAATGGCATGCGTCCAATGGCACGTGTCACACACATCATGGCATGCACGAGGCTGTACCTGGTGGTCCCCGCCCTGCCCTCCCCCATCCACGTTCCCCGGGTGGTCCACTGGATTCACCAGAACCGCCAACTGGTTCCTGCTCTCGCTCATGCTGCATCCATTGCTGCGGCATTCACTGCTACAACCCTTACTGCTGCAATGGCCCCTGCTGCTGTCCGCCCTCCAGGCCACGTCAGTGATGTCCAGCTGGCGCCGCAAGAACATGCCAGCTGGCTCGTCGATGCTGAGCTGGCGGCCGTTAAGGAAGACGGAGAGCGAGTAGTTGACGCCACGGAAGCACAGCCACACACGCTCCCACTCAACACGCTCACACCCACTACAGTCACCCCGGCTACAGCACCCCTTGTCACCAGCAGCAGCAAAACTATCGCCACCACCACCACCAGATGCAGCTACAGATGAGCCGGATTGCTGGCAGTGCAGCAGAGCCTGACAGCATCTGACAGCAGGAACCTTCCTGGAAGGCAGGTGGAGGCAGCGGCGGAAGAGGAAGGTGTAGAAGGCGCGGCCGGCGTGGGTGATGTCTGGGATGCAGTCGCGCGTGTTGGTGCCGTAGAGAGGGTCCGGGAAGACCCCGTTCGCCACCAGGCTCGTGAGCACTCTGTGGGGGAAGAGAGTGAGAGGAACATGGGGGGTTGGTCCAGAATCACCCCTTTCGTCATGAGGCTTGTGAGCTCTGAGGGGAAGAGAGTGAGAGGCTTTAAGTTTGAGAGAAGTGCGGCATGAGGGAGGGTCGAAGTGGAAGGAGTAGGATGGACGACTTGAGAGTTGTCAGAATTCGTTGACAATGCGACGGGGAGACACGAGGGAGATTCGAGACTGGGAACCATAGAGGTTCAAGAACAAAAGAGATGGAAGCGCAAAGTGGGGTTGGTGACAGCGAATGGTGTAATCCAAGGCCATGACAGGACGCGACACGACGCGACACGACATGACACGACACTGGCACTAAACGATACTAATTGACATGAGATTTAGTGGGGCGAGGACATGAGGTGGCTGTTTAAGGTAGCCTGCTTCCTGTCACAAATCCCACCGGGAATCCTAAGAACGTACGTTCCTGGAACAACAGCCGGCATCCAGCCCTCCTCGTCACAGTTCCACTCGCCGTCGACGCCGTCACTCTGCACTTTTATAAGCAATTGTTTGCCAGCCTGTAACGAATTTTGGGCGGCTCTGGAGCCTTCAAATTCTGGTAACCGGGTAAGCACTTCGCCACTGACGCCAACCTCCGAAGCTCTTTTCATCCGCCAATCGGAGTGCAACAGCTGGCACCAGGGCAACGTGCCCGAATCGCCTCCTGTGGGTGCCATGGTGGCTAGCTCGGCCAGAGCGAAAATCAAAGGTGATATCGGATTTGCAGTTTTGGTCACAAATCCGCCATGCCCATCTTTGCGAGAGAGACTCGTGAAAATTCTATGGGGATTCTGCTGAATAAGGGCGTGTCTCACGAGTTCGTTTACAGTTCATGTTCACCTTATGACCTTTTTTTTTTCTTCTGTAACCCTTAATAGGGGACTACTGTAGACATCGTCTTCAATGACGCGCGACATGACGCGCTGAATGCGTCAGAAGGTTCTTATCAAAAGCGTTCAAAAACAGCTTCCAAGGTGCGTACATGATCACCTTGAACAAGTCCGCGCTACCCTAATTTCCGATCTCAGAATTCGCCGAGAA